TACCAACCTGGTGATCTGGTGTGGCTTTGGATCCCCGTTCGCCAAAGGGACCGCTCGGAAAAGTTACTTCACCGCTACTTCATTCCTTATAGAGTACTACGGCGCCTCACAGGTGTCAACTACGAAATTCTACTTGAAGACACAGCTCGGCGATCTCGATGTTCCCAGCAGGCCGAAATTGTTCATGTGTCACGGATGAAGCCACACTACTCCCGAGGCCACCTGACACTGCTTCATCATACGTCTTTGTGCGTGTACGCGATTACTTCAACTTTTAATTGGCATTGATCATCAGGGTGGTACTTTTTTTTTGGAAGAGGGGTAATGCCACAGGCATGGAATGAGGTTTAGCCATGCCAATGCGAGTATGTGCCATGGTGTGAAAAAAGAAGAGGACTGTTGGTGTGCTCACAACACCAACAGTCCTTCGGTTCGGCTCAACGTCCAGTGCTGCTCCTGTGAACAGACGTTGTGGTCATTCTGCAATCACGTGACATTATAAAAGTTTTAACCAGTTGGTTGCATGTTGCTACCACTTTAAACAGTAAACTCTCGATAATTCAAACTCTGATGATTCTTACTTTCGATTAATTCAAAACAAAATTCAATTTTTGGTTGGCCTTTTATTCTTTCGATGTATTTAAAAGCCTCTTAATTCAAACTTCATCATTTGGTTCATACTTTTTGCAGTTCCATACCAGAAAATATCTACTGCTTTCCCACTTCTATTTGCATGCTTATATAATCCTAAGTCTAAAAATTAAAAATAAGCACCTCAGGCCTTCAAAGAAAAAGGCTTTGCTAGCAAACAAATCTTTGAAACAAAGCGCGTGCATGCGTAAACCATGATGCTTCTCGACTGGTATAATGAGCTTTGTGCTGAAGGCACGTACCTATAGCAAAGAAGCAGTTGGATATTCACAATTTTTTTAAAAGCTCTGATCAGCAGTAAATGGCTAATAAACTCGTGAACCATACAACTTCTTTCTGTTCATTGCGTGCAGTTAGAATTAAAGAATACTAACAAATTTTTATATGTGATAAAATCAATGCCTAATCATAATGTGTGGTCTCACATCACCCAGAGTCATTTATCAAAAAACTCTTGCTAATTCTAACTTCTTTATAATTCAAACAAAATTCAGAGGGTTCTTCGAGTTTGAATTAACGAGAGTCGACACTATTTGTGAATTAGGTGGGCTTGGGATGCATTTCAACTAGCCGTTATTTGTATTGTGTTTCAGTTTATGAGAATGCAGCTGCCTTCACAAGCTTTTTGAAACATGTAAGGTAATGAATTTATTGACTTGTGTACTGGGTGAGAACTTCATATACACGGGGGAGAGACATGTTCGGTGTCATGATTGTTGTTTATGCTTGAACTTGGAAAAGGTTATGTTGCATCGTTGGCACAAAATTGTGTGACAGCATCAAACCTATTTTTGCAGGTTAGCACGGTTTTTCGACGCCACTTTTCCTGTACTGAAGGAGGAGCTTGTGCGCCGCAACAAGTCGGAGCCTTTCGAACCGTAAGCAGCCTGATAACCTCTTGGTTGGCACAGCATGCTTACAGCTAGAAGACAACCTGTGGCAATAGTGGTTAAAGGGGCCATGACATGGTCACCCAACAATGTGTGGTTTTCAGCAAAAAATAGGAGTAGAGGGTCTATTACACATATGCATATATTGAAAGTGGACTGTAAAGGAATCTTTCAGAGCAAAACAAGCCATTTAAATTACCGGCTATAAACACCACTTACCGCCGACGACCGCCATTTGCTATGGCGCCTGTGACGCCAAGCTCTGTATCATGCCGAACCATCGTCTGCTACCAAAGTTTCAGGCACTGCGAAATTGTTCAATTTCAGTGCCAAGTAGAAGAAAAGCTAAAGTACCTTGATTTCTAGCGCAGCTCATCACAGACCAATGTCGTTCACCGGAATGCAGGCGACGATTGCACGGCAACCTACTTGTTATGTGAGAGATAGTGAGTTGCCCGACTCTCAGACCGCTCGCGTGTTTATGAAGATATTCAATAATAAATTGAGTGCTTGACCAAGCGTGCCAGAATATCGCCAGTTTGTCGGTGGACACACAAGAATTACCCCACAATGCACAGCTTATGATTGAAAATTGGATGTCATGGCCCCTTTAGAGCTCATGTTTTTGTAGCGGAAGTGGTCGAATTGTGTGCATTTTTTGTTTCCATCACGCCACTCAGCTTGGGCATGCAGCAGATCTTGAAAATATTGACTTCTGAAATTGTAACAGATCAGGAATACAGCAGATCACGTCTGTATGTGACAATTGCTTCTTGCCACAAAATTAAAGAGTGGAACATTGACCTTACTTCTATATCGATGAATAACATAATGAAATATTAACATTATGTTGGTGCAAGAGATAATGAAAATGGAGTTGTGAAAGCACACTTTACAGGCTAGTTCTTATCCAGTGTTTGTCTATGGTGTGACCCTTTTAATGCTGTCATTGATTTTTATTCAAGTGCAAAAAAAATTACACTTCGGAAAGAGAGGGCTAAACGCAATCACACCTGACGAGGTCCTCCCACAAAAAGAACAGTTTGCACTTAAGCAATGGCAGCAAAAAAAAAAAAAAAAAAAAAGACGGAATCAACTGAGAAACTTACACAAAAAAAGTAGTATTTCACGTACAACTTTGAATACATTAGAAAGATAGAATAACATTTTACAAGTAAATATATAATAGAATGCATCACAATTGATATCGAAAACACTGAATGCAAGTAGCAGGCAATATGCATTGAGTGACACTCAAAAAAAAAATTATGTCGGTGGACGTAGTTTAATTATTTGACGATTATTATTTTTTTCCTGATTTGTATTTTTTTATTATTTCTTCGATATCTTTGTTGTTCTTGAAGAGTTTTGTAATCTCGTAGTGCAACATTTGCGAACGGCAGTTTGTCCGTATCCTGTTATTCCTGTAGCTAATATATCGGAACGTATTTGGTAGGCTTGTGCGAATAGTGAATTTTAGGTTCAAAGAAAATAGTAATTTTGATCGAATAATTTTGAATTGAGTTCAAGTAGTATGTATGACATATAAAAAAAGGGAATATCTATCAAGACCTAACTAGCCTGCACAATATTCCTTTTGAATTGAAATAGGGACTGTATGCAAATGCCTTTTTTTTTTTTTTCAAAGGAAGTCGAAACAACCTTGAGTAGCAGTTTCGGTAAAATGCGAGTGATAACCTGTAAGTTACTTAACGTTTTAACAATTATTATACTTGGAGCATATAAGCCGTCATAACAAGCTTCATAAAATGAAGAATTGATTTGAGGGAAACATGTTTCTTTAAAGGGGCCCTGCAACACTGTTTCAAGTAGCCATGTGTGATGCGGAGTTACTGGCTTGAGCAGCAGCGCAGTCTGCAGTCAGGCGACGATTCTACTGCCTAGTGCGCATGTCCAGTGTCTTTTCAATAGTGGTCGCTTCGGCTACAAATTCTTGGACGGTTTTCGGTGGGTTTCTCATCAGTCCCGCAAAGAGCTCCTGTTTGACCCCTCGCATAAGGAAACGAACTTTTTTTTCCTCAGGCATGTCTGGGTCAGCGTGACGGAATAGTCGGGTCATTTCTTCTGTGAAAATGGCGACATTTTCATTTGGTAGCTGCACCCGAGTCTCTAATAAAGCAGCGGCCCTCTCTTTGCGAGCGACGCTCGCGAACGTTTGCAGGAATGCGCCGCAGAAAACATCCCACGTTCGGAGCGTGGACTCCCGATTATCAAGCCAAGTCCTTGCGGTGTCTTCCAAATAGAAGGACACACGACGCAGCTTTTCGTCATGGTCCCAGTGGTTGAGGGCGGCCACACGGTCGTATGTTTCTAGCCAGGACTTCCGGGTCTTCGAACGATGACCCATGGAAAATTGGTGGTTCCCTGGGGTTGATGCATGACCATCGTGGGCTGGGACGCTGCGGTTGTCATTGTCGCTGCAGTCGCGGTCATTGGCCTTGGTTTCCGCGCCTCGTCTGGTAGAAGCCCGTACTCCGGTGGGTAGCCCTTGCTGTCGGCGGCTTGTTCGCTGCTCCTGGTTGGCGTCGGTGTCTTCTCCGCGACGTTGGGCTGGGTTCACGGCTTGACGGGGGGCGTCCGGTACATGAACGAAGCAGCACCTCCACCAGATGTCACGGAGTCTTGACGTGGCCGAAAGACAGGAGACTTCTTGTTGGATTGAACTGTTTATTGGGCGAACCGTGCCCGGTAAACAAAAGTCCAATTACAGCAGCAGTCTTGCACAGATAGCAGTCCTCGGACTGATAGCGGCGAACGGAGCGTCGGCCTTCGATCAACACTGACAAGCGGCGAAGCGCGTCGGCATTTATACTCTTGCCGTCGAATGTTCGGGTTCTTGTTGCTGATTGTTTCTCCTGGTTGAGCCCCGGAGAGTTTTTCTAATAAGGACAAAGCCGTTTGCTTAACAAACAACACCTAAACATTTACTGCAGAACTGAAGCAAAACTCAAACACAAACTACAAGAAATGAGTAGCTGGCTAAAAGCGGGTTTTAGAAGGAAAACAAACATCTAAAGTCCCGAAACTGCCGACGGAAAGTCACAGCTACATGATGCAGTTCTGACGCGGTGATTCGGCGGTGTAGGGAAGAGAGCAAGTTCGATCTCACCAAAACGTTGCTGCTGTAATGGTGGCGACGGCGTGTACCGATGCTCGCTGGCGGCGACGATGGAACGGGACTCGCTCGGTGATGCCTGTGGCGGCCCAGATTCGCCCGATGAGGTGGCTGGTTGCAAGGCTCAGACCCGTGACCCGAACTGCCGTTGCTGCACCCGCACCGGAATCTGCAGGCCTTGGTCTCGACCGTTGAGGCAGCTCGCCGTCCTTGGAAGGCGTTGTCCGGAGGTCCAGACCGGGTGAAGTCCAGAAGGCTCAGGTCTGCCACCCGACTGCCTGTCTTCAGCTCCCAGCTGTGACCTTCCTCTTGCCTCGTTCACCTCGAACTCCTAGCTCTTTTGCCCTTCAGGATTGGCTTCCTCTGGGGCACACTTGTCTCGTCCCGATTGGCCTTTCAAAACTCCGTGGTGATCAGCCATTGGCCCTTGTTTGCTTTATGGTCTTGGATGCTTGCGCTCCACGCTCTCACGTGTACCGGTCCTCGGCGTCGTCGTTGTTCAGGCGACCCAGCACGTGCACTCGGTCATCCTTTAATTTCGCGCACTTTTCAATCATTCACAATTACGCGCACCAGTCGCATCACCATCGCATCACAATGGCCCCCTTTCGAAGAAGTTTTTCCCGTTGAAAAACTGTCGTTCGATGCGCACCACACAAGCTATCACAACACACCGATGGCACCACACTGCTTCTTCGTTGACATGTCTCACGTCGAAACACCGAGTCCACAGAACGTAACATTCAACCAACAACAATAAGAAAAGTTTTTGGCAGCAACTAAGAACAGTACAAATACAGTCATTAACTCCAGTAACAGTCCACCACACAAGCATAACCTTGTAATAATAACACACAGAACATATTCACTGCAACCTACTCATGTAGTCGGCTCCAACATTCTCGGATCCCTTTATATGTTCTACGTGAAAGTTGTACTCTTGCAGTACTAAACTCCACCGCAGAACTCTGCTGTTGAGGTGGTTTGTTGGCATGCGTCACAAGAGCGCACGTATCTCCTCACTGCCTCTTGAACTCCTGGCCAGTAAAATGATTGCAGAACACGATCAATCGTTCTTTTTATTCCTTGATGCCCCGACATCAGGGTTTCGTGCGCCAAAGTAAGCACTTGGCTGCGCAATCTTTGGGGCACTACTACTTGTTGAATCACCTTACCAGATGGTAGGTGATAATAGCGGTATAGCAGCCCCTTTTCTATCTCGAACGAATAGGACTTTGATCCTCCCTGTAGCCCTTGACCTACTTTACTCCTGCAAGAATCTAGGGTCTTGTCCTGTTTTTGAGCGGCACTAAGATCCTTTCGGGTCGTCTTCAAGGTGGGTACATCGATTTCAGATGAGATTGACCGTTGCTCTCGGATTTTGATACCAACCACTGAAGACTTCAGGGTACCATCCTCTCTATCTGCTCCTTTTCCACTCGCTATATAGTTGGGGTAGGTTTTTACCGGAATCCTTTCCTCCCACTTGGTATCGGGGTCATGGACTTCACGTGAACCTGGTACATTTCCGACGATAAGGTCGTAGAGTGGGTTTGTCATGCATTTGACAATAGATGTACCAGAAAAATAAGGTGAATGAATTTCCACCTCCGCCTCAGGAACGATGATGCTACTGCCATCGGCTAAGAATAGCGTAGCGGTAGTACCTATGAGGGCTTCATCGGGTACCAGAGAACGACGCACCACCAGTGTATTGCTACCCGTATCCCGCAACACTGAGACGGTTCGGCCAAAGATTCGGCCCTGTAACACGGGCATTTTGTGTGTGGCAAACTTCGGGTGAGTATTCACGGCGCCCGCCATGTCCTCTTCTTTGTCCGGTGAAAGCTTC